GGCAACGCCGGTAACGATGCTTGAAGGAAGACGAAGTCGGCCGAGCAAGAAGTAAGACATCGACGCCGGTAGCGCGAGGAAGACGACTACACCGCCTGCGAAGAGAAGAAAGTTTTTGAGGTAAGCATCTTCCTTTCTCCCTATTCATTGAGGGCACCAACGCGACGGTGAAGGCATATCTTTAAGGTAGGTGTTTAACCCTTCTCCTTCCTTCATTCATGGATACGAATGTTGGATTACATATATTTGATTTAGGGTTTCATAGATTCGACTGGATCTGGTTTTTTTTTTTTTTTTGCTTCATTTTTTGGATATGAGATTCATTGTTGGGGATTTGGGATTCTTGACGGGGGATTTGAGATTCGCTTTCTGTGCCTTGGGATTCAATTTGGGGGATCTAGGATCTTCTATGGCTAGGATTTGGGATTCGATTTGGGAGATTCGAGATTCTTTATATTTGATTTAGGGTTTTATGGATTTGACTATATCTGAGTTTTTTTTTTTTTTTGCTTCATTTTTCGGATCTGCGATTCGTTGTTGGTGATCTAGGATTCTTGTCGAGAGATTTGAGATTCGCTTTCTGTGCCTTGAGATTCGATTTGGGCGATCTGGGTTTCTTTTGATTTGAGGGATTTGGATTTCTTTCGATTTGGGGGATCTGGGATTTTCTATGGCTGGGATCTGGGATTCGATTTGGGAGATTCGAAATTCTTGTTATTTGATTTAGGGTTTCATGGATTCAACTGGACCTGAGTTCTTTTTTTTTTTTTTTTTGCTTCATTTTTTGGATTTGAGATTCGTTGTTAGGGATCTGGGATTCTTGTCGGGGGATTTGAGATTCACTTTCTATGCCTTGGGATTTGATTTGGGGGATCTGAGATTCTTTCAATTTGGGGAGTTCTGAGTTTTACTCGTTAATATGTTAGTTTGTTGACTTGGGATATTATTTAGCATGCGTGGGATACCAGTTCGTTGAATGTGGATATTGTTTGGGGGGTTCTGAGTTTTGCTCGTTAATGTAGTAGTTTGTTGACTTGGGATATTATTTAGCATGCTTGGGATACCAGTTCGTTGAATGTGGATATTGTTTGGTGGGTTCTGAGTTTTACTCGTTAATATAGTAGTTTGTTGACATGTGATATTATTTAGCATGTTTGGGATACCAGTTTGTTGAATGTGGATATTGTTTGGGGGGGGGGGGGGGTTCTGAGTTCTGCTCGTTAATAAGGTAGTTTGTCGATCGAGGATATTATCTTGCATGCCCGGGATACCATTTTGTTGAATGTGGATATTGTTTTGGGGGTTCTGAGTTTTGCTCGTTAATATGATAGTTTGTTGACCTGAGATATTATTTAACTTGTTTGGGATACCAGTTTGTTGAAATGTCGATATTTAGCATGCCCATGATGCATGGATATTTGTATGTTAGGTCTGGATATTTGTATGCCCTATATGGATATTAGTCTGGACTGTTAATATGCCTAATGATTTCTTTTCATGTATTTCAGGAATTTTGCAAGATGACAAGATCCAAAAGCTGTTCGATTCCAACTCCTCCATGAGAAGGGGAGGTGGAGGCACATCACTGACTCAAAATTATTGCTTTCTCATTTCTTATGTGGTTATGCTTTTTCGGATTTGAGATTCTGGGATTGCCAAGCTGTAATGGCATAGAATACTAGTTTTGTCGCGGTTGCCGATAAAACAACTTTTTTTTTTATTATGGATTTGAGTTTGTTATTCTGGAATATTATTATGTTAGGTCTGGATATTAGTTATGAAATGTATGAATATTAATCTGTGTTGTCTGGATATTATGCTCTCATATTAGTTCTGTGAGGTCCAATGTTACTTAAGTGAATATGGATATAACACAACCAAATGTTCGATCGTTCTAAACTAATATCTGCATAGTTTAATAAAGACATGGATACTAGGTTGGTGCAGGATGGATACTGAACACAGAATAATAGTTCATTTCAACGATAATACTAGTAAGTAGATAAATAAGGATACGACTCCCCCACAACATGAATACAGTTTCATCGGTGTTATCGTCATCATCCGACTCTGAATTGGAAATAAAAAACAACTCAACAAGGACATCAAGGAACATCGCCACAAACCAATCCATGTAAAAGTCACAAACCTTGTCATACACGTCCACATAGACACCCTTCTAATATCCATTCATTGCAAAACAAATATAAACACCACCCAGTTTAATATCCGACCACAAGACGACCACCTAAAAAACTAAACCTTAACCCTAAAAAAGAAACCCTAAACTCTAACACTAAAACACTAATCACTACTCCGAATCTACTCGAACACCAAACCTTTTTTCTGTGAGCATAACACTAAAACCCTAACAATAGTATCAGATGGCTCCAAAAAAGTATCCACACCATAATCCAAGAGACTAGTATACTAATATCTTATTGTTGTACACTAATCCGAATAGTTACCAAAAGTGTTAGATGCTTAAATAAACAAAGGATCATATCGAAATAGTTACCAAAAGGGCCCTATTAGAATATCCAAACGTCCCAGAAAAATATCTGAAAATATGAACTAATGAACCCTAAACCCTAAAACTAAAATGAATATTCACACTACCCAGAAGAATATCCACACCACCCAGTCTAATATCCCACCGTCTTAGAAAAATATATTGTGATCCCAAAATTAAGATTATCCATATATAACAGACTAATATCTTATTATTGTACACCAATCCGAATAGTTACCAAAAGTGTTAGATGCTTAAATAAACAAAGGATCACATCGGAAATAGTTAGCAAAAGTGTCCCATTAGAATACCAAAACGTCCCAAAAAAATATCCGAAAATATGAACTAATGAACCTTAAACCCTAAAACTAAAACGAATATCCACACTACCCAAACAAATATCCACACCACCCAATCTAATATCCTTCTATCTCAAGAGAATATCATGTGATCCCAAAATGGATATTATCATTATGACAGACTAATATCCACCACATACTGACTAATATATGATAGTTGTAGACTAATCCGAATAGTTATCAAAAGTGCCCCATTAGACTTATCCAAACGTCCCACAAAAATATCCAAAAACATGAACTAATATCCGAACCACATAAAATAATATCCATTTATTGCAAACGACCACAAGACTAATAAACCCTAACCCTAAAAAAACTAAACCCTAACACTAAAACCCTAATCACTAAACCCTAAACCATAAAAGCTATTATTATTTCATGGGCCTTCGGCTTATGGGCCCTTGGCGGACAACCCTAGGTTGCAAGTCTTATGTATTAAGACTTGATAGCGTGTTTAGTTTTGACGGAAGACACAATATCCATCGCATATAATATCAGTTCATGCAAAAATTAGTTTGTCAATTGCCCAGACTAAACCGTAAACCCAAACCTTAAACTCTAAATCGTAAACCTGAACCCTAAAACCTAAACTCTAAATTGGTATAATCAATTTCGGGTGGTTGGGTTATATTGGGGTTTGGTAAACATTAGTTCCACGATGGATATTGGTTTGCGAAAAAAGAATACTAGTTTATTTCAACAATGATACAAAGTAATATCAACACAACACAGATTAATATCGGGTGAAAACAAATAAATATCCACACAAACATACATAAACATTACATGGATAAGCGGGCCCACAATATTCGTTCTCTCTCCATTCCTCTCCAAAATCCTGTCCAAACTGAAGCGGGCCTACAAAACGGCTTCTTCGGCGCGTCCTCCAAGCCGCAGAATGGGCCGGCTTATACCATCAAACCCATCACAAGTGAGCCACCAGAACTTGCCTCTCTCATTCGTTGGATCTTACCTCGACGTGGCATAGGGGTGGGCATCCGGTTCGGTAAACCCGAACTGAATCGGACCGAAACTGAACTCGGCCGAACCGAAACCGAAATACTACTATTCGGTTCGGAAATCGAAAGGGAAATCTGGATAGTTCGGAAATCAGGGTCCTTTCGACCGAACCGAGATTCCGAAATTTCAACCGAAAAACCGAAATATATTAAATAAGCCCAAAACCCATCAATATTCCCCAACACCCTAAGCCCAAATGAAACACACTGAGCCCAAAAGAAACCTAACCCACTAAGCCCAACCAAAAACCCTAACTTCTACAGCCCCAACCCTCTCCCTCTCTCCCCTCTAGCCTCTCAACCCTCGCCTCTCACATTCTCAGCAACTGTCGTCCGCCAGCCAACCTTCTCCAACCACCACACGACTTCGTTGCATCAAATCCAATGACTAGTGGCGGCCTGAGCAGCCATCTCCGACCTGCCTCCCTTCAATCGCTTTGCCAACAAAATGTGAGGAAGACACTATGAGTCTTGGCTTTGCATGCGACGGGACTTGTGAAAGGAGTGTTCTGGGTCTGATAGGTAGAGGATGATGGTCGAGAATGGGGGAATCGGGAAGAAGAGACGATGGTCGTCGGTCGAGTTGGGGGAGTCTGGGAGAGAGGGAGAGGAGAGGATGATCGAGTTGAGAGGGAGATGTGACGACTGTAGAGTAAGAGTTGGGGGAGTCGATCGGAGATTGAGGGAGAGACTGGAGAGGGAAGTCGGAGATCGAGGGTTTGAGGAAGAGAGCGGAGAGCCAGAGCAAGAGAGAGGATTGGTGGCGGCTGTAAGTGTGACCCAAAATCCTAAGGAAAGGGGAAAATAAAAGAAAATGAGGAGGCGCTGATGGTAGGTGATTATCTTTTGGTTTGGGGTCTTGAAACCGAACCAAACCGAAATATAATTCGGTTTGGTTCGATTTGGTTCGGCCAAACCGAATCGAATTATATTTCGGTTCAAATTCGGTTTGACCTATGGGATAAGTCGAAAATCATGTATACTGCATTTTGGTTCGGTTTGGACCAAACCGATGCCCACCCCAAATGTGACATCAAATATGATCCTATTAGTATCTGCTAACCTATCCAGGAGTTAGAGAATAACTTGTGCGGTGGCAGTGTGGCACTCCTCCAACTATGGGAAACTAGAAAATAGGAAGGGTTTCTCACAGTTCGAATGAACTCACCCCTGCCTCTTCGCTGACGCCGAGAGAATGAAGAAGCCCATCTCTCGATTAGCTTAAGCACTCATTTTCCGTCTCTTCGTTTTCATTTTTCAATTTTGTGTCCATCGATCGTCTTCGTCGTCTCTTTTCATCCCTCCCCTGCAGTTCGCGTAGCGAGGGATTCAGAAACTGACCGCCTCCGCGTGGCCCTCGTTTCAATTGGGGCAAAGCCATGCCCCTTTTCATCACCGACGACGAGCTTGCTCGTTACTCCAACGACGCTCCCCACGTCGCAGCTAGGGCTGACGATTACATCAGGCGCTTGCAGACGGAGCTCGATACCGTCAAGGCTGCCGCAGATGCCAATGCGGTCACCGCCGAGCAGACTTGTTCGCTTCTCGAGCACAAGTTCTTGTCCCTCTCCACCGAGTTCTCCACGCTCCAATCGCAGAACGCACTTCTCCAGTCCACGCTCGATGAGCGTCTCTCCGAGCTCGCCGAAGCCCAGGCTCAGAAGCATCAGCTTCACTTGCAATCGGTAGTCATGCTGAGTTTTGGCTGCTTCTTCGTACATTCATGTTTTAGGTCCATGATCGTTGTATCGTGTATCCATGACTTAGGTTTCACGTACTAGCTCTTCGAAATTGAGTGGTGGATGTGGTGGAGAAGTGAAATTCACGCTGCTAACTGCCACTTCTTCTTGTCACGTAGATGGGGAAGGATGGCGAAGTAGAGAGGTTGGCAACAGACTTGTCGGAGCTGCGTAAGAGCAATAGGCAGTTGCTTGAGTTGGTGGAGCAAAAAGACGCGGAGATCAACGATAAGAAAGCTACTATTAACAGCTATCTCGATAAGATTGTGGGTTAACCCGTGAACTCAATTTTGCTGCTTAGCTTTACTTGCTGGCCATTTATTTATCGTTTCTTTGTTTCCTGAACAAAGCTATTCCTCATTTCCTTTGTTCATTGCTGTGTTGGTTTTTCCCCCCTCTTTCTAAGGTTAATTTGACGGAGAGTGCATCAAAGAAGGAAGCTCGACTATATGAGGTTGAGGCAGAGTTGGTGCATTCTCAAGCTGCCTGCTCTCGCCTTTCACAGGTCAGTGCAGTGCTCCCTTTTCGGAATCCCATACAAAGTTGCCCCATAATGACCCTATCACTTGGCGGGATTTTTTTTGTTCTGAAGCATTTTCTCCGGATGGCGATGTTTTGTGTGTGTGTGTGTTGGGGCTTGGGGGGGGGGGGGGGGGGATTACCATGCATCCGTTTCCTCTGTGTGTGTCAATAACTGTAGATTGGATCTTAATGAAGTTAAATATTATGTGATTAGGAGAAAGAAATTGTGGACAGACATAACTCATGGCTAAATGATGAGCTGACAGCCAAAGTCGACAGTTTGATTGAGCTGCGCATAAGACATTCCAATCTAGAGGAAGATCTGTCTGCTAAGCTTGCATGTGTAAGTAATAAGTATACTAATGAATGTCTCTCTGCTTTTGGGCTTCTGCTATGACATATCTTTCTTTCTTGTGTGGTTATGTGTTGGTAACTGCCTTGATCCTGTAGGCTGAGAAACAACTGAGTGAATCTTCAAGCTCTGCACAGAGGAACAAGGATAGAGCAGATGAGCTTGAAGCGAAATTAACTTCCTTGCAAGAGGTGAATTTCTCTTTATTTTATTTAATCTCTGTTTGTATGTGTGCCAGTCCATTGATTCTAGGTGTCTTATGAATGGCCTTTTGTACATGATGAAGGAATTATGCTCTACTAAGGATGCTGCTGTGACAAATGAAGAGCAACTCTCTGCTGAACTCTCTACTGTAAGTGATGAATTTTTTTATGATGTAACTGAAGAACATATTTGGATTGTCGGATGTTGATGGTTATTCCAACTAAGTTGGTTCACTTATTGCATAATATTCTGCAATCTGTTTTCATTCAGTTTCCACTGAGTATTTTTCCAGTATTCCTGGTATTTTTGGATGGCATATCTATTTATACATTCAATTGTTGGCATGTCAGGAAAATCTGGAATTTTGAGTCATGGAATGTGACATATTTATCTGATTTCCTGCTAATGTAGGCAAATAAACTAGTTGAACTTTATAAGCAAAGCTCCGAGGAATGGTCAAGGAAAGCAGGGGAGCTTGAGGGTGTCATTAGAGCTTTAGAGGTAATCTCCTTGTATTACTTTGTCCAACAAATTCTCTATATTCCATGAAAATTATACCCTCTGTACCATTAATCTCTTTTTGCCTGTTGAGCAGACTCATTTGGGTGAGCTTGAAAATGATTACAAAGCTAGACTCGAAAAAGAAGTCAAATCAAGAAGCCAATTAGAGAAGGTAAGCTGTTTTGTGTTGCTTATTATTTTAGGTTCTAATTTAGCTGTCGCATGTTGAAGTATACACATCCTTTTGTGTTTCCCCGTTTTCGTGGTGGTTGTTGTAAAATGATGGACCATCTGATTTCAGTCATCAATTTAAAAGGTCGCTATCATTGTTCTTCATTGCAAGAAGATGGACCTAAAGTTATTGAATCTGGGTATACGTTGTATATACAGTTCTTATTCACTAGTGGGCCCACTATACTGATTGTGGACTGAACACTCAGCTGGCTTTATGCAGGATATTTGGTCATGGAAAGTGACTATAGTTGTGCAAGTGATACCTTGTTTGAGAGTTTTTCGCATGTTGTTATTTAATTTCTATTTTCATAGCTACTGATAAACTTGTTCTGACTATCAACTGGAAGTTCCATATCAAGTTTTCCCTTATTGTCTGTTCTTCAGCTTATTGTGTCTTGTTGATGCTTGATTTTTAGGTTTCTTAGTTGCTATCTTTTTCTTTTGGGTAATAGGAAGCTGCTGATCTCAGAGGAAAACTTGAAAAATATGAAGCTGAGATTGAAAGTAGCAGGAGAAATAGTGAGCTTAATCTACTTCCAGTCAATAGTTTCTCGACAGAAAGGTATGTTGTTCACTGTCCAAGAATTTTTTTGTGGTCTCTTCTTACGTGTAATGAAGATAAAGACTGTGGGACTCTTTCTACTACTACTAATTTGTTTGTGCGAGGAATGCAAAATGTGTCTAGAGTCTAGACCTTATTGGGAGTATTATTTTCTGCCTCAGATGTGATATTCGAAATGTGCAATCTCTTATGTATGAGAGTAATCATGTGTCCTGCTTGATAATTCGAGCATTGTTTACTATGGTGCCAAGCTGAGATTATTATTGTATTAGAGCTATGCACCCTGCTTGATAATCCGAGCATTGTTTATGTGATTAAGGCATATTCCCAAGCCGAGGATATTATCATGGTAGAACCACTAAACAGTTTCTAAAGGTGTATGGAGAGAGGCCTCTCCCTTGCTTTGTGGACTGGTTCTTAATGAGTTTTCAGGTACTGATTCATTAGTGTTGCAAAACTTAGAGAAACTCTGGATGCAGTACAATGTCAGAACCGTAACGCCTGAAAGAAAGTTCATGCAAAATGTTGCTTTTCGGGTGTCTACTTGTGTAAAACATGGACTATTTGTTAGATCTTTCTCTACTCTTCATGTTGCATACAACCTAAGCCATGGAGTCTGCAGTCTGAGATCAAAGTTGTGAGCATTCATTTGCATTTTTAAATAATGGTTACTAAGTGCAATTATTGGAAAGTTGTATGGAAGTCTTAAAGAAGTTTGTTTCTGTCGGCTGATTCCCACAATTTAAGCTGTAGGCTTTGGGAATCGAGTCCAGAAATAAAATTTTATCCTAACCATAGAGATTGTCATCATATGAAGTCAGGTATTAGCTGGTTGTGATGTCCTCTTTGGATGTTGATGCTTCACAAGCTGAATTGGCGTGCATCCAAAATTGTTTTGACATGCAATTGGGCAACACTCTACCATGGTGTTAATATTTTATGATGGTCCATGGATCAGCGTGCAGACTGTTTACCTGACAAAAATGAGCATCTGGACCCTAGTTTTCCGGTTTAATTATGTCAAATGTTCTCATCTTTATCTCGCAGGTGGGCGGCCCAGTCTGATAGCAATGTCTCCATGGAGGATACTGACATGCTTGTTCCAAAGATTCCTCCTGGCGTTTCAGGGACTGCATTAGCAGCTTCTCTACTTCGCGATGGATGGAGTGTGAGTTGTATGACTTGTATGACTTGTTCTTCTTACATACAATAGTAATCTTGCTTTGATTTTGAATTCATGTTGCATTTTTGTAGCTGGCTAAGATGTATGCAAAATACCAAGAAGCTGTTGATGCTCTGCGCCATGAACAACTAGGAAGGAAGGATGCTGAAGCTGTATTGCAACGGGTATGATGTTCATCACATTTCTTATATCATTGATGCGTCATGAGTAGTTGTGATTTGTCCCCACCTTTAGGTTTTGTTATTATTAGTATTTTTCTTACAACAATGGTGCTGTTATTTTGTTCGATTCTGGAATCACTTGTCCTTTCCTTCTCCAGGTTCTGTTTGAACTGGAGGAGAAAGCAGGAGTTATTTTGGACGAAAGAGGTATAAATTCGGATAAAGTGGACCTTGAGGAAGTTCACATTTCCTTCCTGAGCTATCAATTTCCTTTTCCTAGAGCCATCCAATTCCTGATTTAGCAGTTGAACTGTTTGATGCTCTTTTGAGATATTTCTTTAGTGGGTTTATGCCAATATATTGATGAATTGCTATGCGTTGCAGCGGAATATGAGAGAATGTTGGAGTCATACTCCATCATTGGCCAAAAGTTGCAGCAGTCTGTATCAGAGCGGGGGAACCTGGAAAAAATGATCCACGAATTGAAGGTATGTTCCGTCAATGTCACTTTCAGAACTTTTTTTTGTGGCTGCTTGTTGATTGCAAATTTTCAGGCTGAACTAAGGAGGAATGAAAGACTATGATTTCGCCCAGAGGGAGATTGTTGACCTTCAGAAGCAGGTGGAACATCTCTTGTGCCTAACTATTGTCTGATCTGCTTAAATGTGTACAAGGTTTTCAAGTTGATCTGGTTATGTTTTTGTTAGTAATTTTGTCCATCTGGCATTGTTCATGCATGCAGTCGTATCTGATAGGTGATTGCAGTACTCTGCTGTTCTTGTTCTTAGTGCTTCATGTTTCTTCTTTCCTGCCTGTTATCATCGACAATGATTCATTGATTTTTATTTTGCTGGGATCAAATACAAGTAGATAAAGCAAACTTACTGTCCATGGTTTTTCAAAGCTTGAAGATATTGTTATGGAGTTATCGACCCGGACCTTGCCTTACTGTCTGCATATTTTGTAATGTTTCAGGTTACTGTTCTTCTGAAGGAATGTCGCGATGTGCAACTACGATGTGGATTGGGGGATAATGATGGTGACGACTCTTCCATTTATGCTGATGTTGGTATGGAAACAAACGCTGTTGCTGATAATGTCATTTCTGAAAGGCTTGTAAGTTGTTTCATTAATTATTGTCGGTTGTTTGCAAGATTTATTTGTACAGCTTAGCTATATTTGGCATCTATTCCAACATTATGCAGTTGACTTTCAACGACATAAATGGATTAGTTGAGCAGAATGTGCAACTCAGAGGTCTTGTGCGAAGTCTTTCAGATCAGATTGAAAATAGGGAGTCAGAGTTCAAGGTATTTGACAACTCAGCCGTACTTGTGTTCCAATTATTGCATGATTTAATGCTTTTGTTCCATTGGTCTGCATGCTTTAGAATTCGGATGTACCATTGCAGGAGAAACTAGAAATGGAACACAAGAAACTCACTGATGAAGCTGCCGCTAGAGTTGCAAATGTCTTACAAAGGGCAGAAGAACAAGGGAACATGATTGAAAATCTTCGTGCATCTGTATTGTTCCCTCTCCCACAATTTTCGTGTTCGACTCTTAGCTGCATTTTCGTCTCTCTCTGAGTAATGCTTTGTGCTATTCTTGTAGTTACAGCTTGTCTTTATTCTCAATCCTTGTAGTTTGCAATGTACAAAAGGTTATATGAGGAGCAAAAGAAACGACAGTCACCGGATACACTTCTACATTCTTCAGAGGCAGCTCTAGGTTACTGTCATTGTCAAATAAATTGTTGTTTTTTTGGTTTGCATCTCTGGCTCTGAATTTCAACTACTGATTTGTGGTTACTGAATGTGCATTCTCATAACTTCTCGACATTTTGAGTTGCTATTGTACCAATAGCGACAGTGTTTCCTCAGAACTTCTCTTGACATAAGAGGCATTGAAGTGTTGCCATCTCCCATCATTGTGCTAATATATGTCCTTTTGTATTAAAGATAATATGTTATACATCTAGGTTCTTGGCATAATTATTATGATTCGCCTTGTTCAGTGGTATGGACATAGAATCTAGTAGCTATATATGGTACTTTCTGGCTAGTTGAGATTTTCTTTGAAAGACTTCTGAGACCACACTCTTATCTTGGATATGCCCGTTTGATAGAAATGTATTGTCCTTTCCTTGATGCTACATGAGCTCTCTTGTCTTTTTTTGCTGTTACTTGGAATCTTTATTTGCAGTGCTAAACATGCTAATGGATGTTTTGTTTAGTTAAATTGTTAGATGTTGCATTTATGGAAGTAACAGGACACTTGCAGTCGTTCTAAATAGTTTGCTTTTTATATGTATGTTACGGTTATTGGTCCCAACTCGGTTTTCAATTTGTATATGTAGAGAATGGAGGGAAGGATCTTCTGTTTGTCCTTGAGGGTGCTCAGGTTCTGTCAAAACAATTAAATTTTGTTTTATTGTTTGATTTGTAGGTGGAGAGATTATTGATTCTAGACCTTCCGTGCTTATGTTTTTGCTATTCTTAATTAGATGCAGGAAGCTAGCAAGATGGCTCAAGAAAAGGTTGCGAAGCAGTTGGGATCTCTTGAGGAAAAGCTGTCAAAAGCTAGGTAATGATTTGGAGGAAATTTGGGTTTAAGTGACAGGGGAGTGTTGTCTTTCCCGAATGCCACGTCAGCACATCAGTGTATGATGTACTGTAACTTATTTTAATACTGCTTCAGATCTTATTGACTGCATACCACAACTACACTCCTTTATTATCATTCTGTGCTACCTGATATTGTATCAGCCTATCAGGCTTTGCCATGACGATGCTATAATGAGTCTTGTCTTCACTGAAGTATAGGTTGCCAATATATAAGTGCCCTATGATCCGAGAAATAATTCTCTTCAATGCCCCTGAAGCTCTTGCCTCTAGCCTGTCAATTCTCATTCAACCTTTCTTCTCAATGTTGATAGCTGAATGTTCACTTATTTATTTGTCTATTTATTTATTTATCTGTCTGTATGTTGGTGCTTGTGCTTAACTTAAATGTTATTTTGTTGTGGCTAGGAGTGAACTTGTATCATTGCAATTGGAGCGTGACAAGTTAGGTTCGGAGGCAAAGCATGCAACTGAAAAACTGGAGAGGTTTATGAAAGAATTTGAACACCAGGTTATTTTTTTTGAGTTGATAGTTCTTTGACTGGTCCTAACAGAGCAGTGGTTTGGTGGAATTATTAAGATGCACCATTTTGTCACGAGTATATAATGAGGATTTAGGATGGTATAATGTATGAATTATGTAGCTTATTCTATCTCAATGATTTTGTAGTTCTTCCAGAAAAGAACATGTTTTATTTTAATTTTGCAAGTTGATTCATGCTGGTTCTGCTGTGTTCTTGTTTGACATTCCCTTTCCTGTCCCAAGCCTTTTATTCAGTTCCTTCGTGACTTGTGATTGACAGGACGGTCGAATCAAAGGTCTTGAAGCACGCAACTTAGAACATGGCCGCCTGATTCTTGACTTCCAGAAAAGATTAAACGAAAGCATGCATGTTCAACATGCTTCTGAGGATCATTGTCGGAAGCTAAACATGGAGGTAAAAGAGCTGGAGATTGATATGTTGGATGATGATTTTTGTGCATGGTTGTCATGTCATAATACTTGTTGATAGGTATCGGCCCTAAAGCATGAGAAGGAAATGTTATCAAACGCTGAAAAGAGAGCATGCGATGAAGTTCGTAGATTGTCAGAGAGGGTGCATAGGCTGCAGGTTTGGAAAGCAATCTGCTACTGTTTAGTATTGATTTTGCTTCAGTTGTCTTACATTGTATTGTCTCTGCAGTCTAGTTTAGACACTTTCCAGAGCGCCGAGGATGTTCGAAAGGTGGGTGACTTGTACTCATTCTCTCTCTCCCCCAATTCTTTTTAAATTCCATCATAGCAACTAATCCTTTTATATATTCTCGTTGTTATTCTAGGAAGCACGAGCTGCCGAGAGGAGAAAACAGGAGGAATATGTCAAACAAATTGAGGTACTTGACTTTTTATCCACACTTTATATTGGTACTTTATCAAGGTGAATGAATAGATGGTACTGCTGCTTCATCTTTCAGGGTTGAACAAATTTAGGAATGACTGTTATTTGCGCTTAGTTTAAGGCATATGCATAATCTGTGTTTGCCATAATTTATTTGCAATTTGGTCTTCATTTTTTAAAACTTTTTCTCACTGAGTTTTCGCTAATGATGGATGTTAAGAGGGAATGGGCAGAGGCAAAAAAGGAGCTGCAACTGGAGAAGGAAAATGTCAGATCCCTCACATGTGATCGGGAGCAGACTTTGAAGAATGCGATGAGACAAGTGGATGACATGGGAAAAGAGTTGGCTGATGCACTGCGTGCTGTCACAGCTGCTAAGACCAGGGCTGCTGTAGCTGAGGTTTCTAATTTTACCTGTTACTTTTATCTTAATGCCTGAGACCTGAAGTTGTCTTTCAGTGATACTTGTTTTTTTAAGACAAAAACGTTCACGACTGTTAAACTTAATATTCATTTGATCGGACCTTCTCTAAATTATATCTTGCAGACTAAACTTGATTTGGAGAAGAAGAAGGCAAGTTCTGATCAAAATGTATGCCATAATCTGTTTTCCTTGCGAGATATGTGTGTTTCTCCAGCTAAGTTACTGTCTTATTTGTTTCTCGTTTTCTTGATTTTTATATTAGTTGTTATCTTATACAATGCCGTCAACCTGCACAGGTTGCTGATGGGCTGGAAAGCAGGGCGCTCACTGTTTCCTCTGCAGAGGTCAGTGCGTGTCCATGCTTACTTTTAATGCTACGGTTTCTTATTCCATCAACTCCCAATTAATTACATTTTACAACCCGTTGCTTCTTTCTCTCTCTTCTGCAACCGTCTCTAAACTCATCCTTAATAACCACTTTCCTCTTGTAAAAAAATAATAATAACCACCTTCATCATATTTTTTGGTTTTTTCCCACAGTTTTGTAGAGATAGGTGAGATCGGAAAATTTATTTCTTTTCTTTCAATATTTATGAATAATTGCTTCTCAATTTTATCTTCCATAGCCGCTTGAAAAAATGGATTAATGATTTACCAAAAAAAAAAGAAGGATAATGTTGACAAGGTCCAGATAATGGTATAAGTTTGCCCTTAATAATAAATTCTTATTAGAGTATCCACATCAATGTAATTGCAAAAACAATTTGCATTTGTGCTTTTTATTGTCAACTCAAATTTTTTGCAGCCCACATCACATTCACTTCATTTACCTACATCAATGCAATTAACTTGCAATTGCATATGTGGGTCGAATTTATTTTTAAGGTTTGTATGTGTGTTATTTTTTAATAAAAGAAAATTACATGGCAATTGCATATGGAATTGCATAAAATGAAAACTGCATTATTGCAATTGAGACTTACGTCCATGAAATTGGTAATGCAATTGCATTTTCTTTGCCACGTCACTTTGCAATTCAATATAATTGCTTGATGTGGATGCTCTTACTTTGTTGTTCTTATATCATATATATTCCTCGCACTTGAATTTACTTCATCATCGTCCTTTAAATTCATTTACTACAAATTAGCCTCTAAATTAGATCTCATCATAAATCTATTTATTATATTTGAAATAATTTTGTTATATTTCAATGGTCATTTTTTAGAATCAATATCAAGAAAAAAATTAAATTCTATCATATTTTCTTTTTTAATGAAAGTACCATAATAATTCTATTTAGAATATCTAATTTTGAAGTATGTATTGTTTAAATTACATACTCAAAATAATTTATGCTATTCATAATCATTGAGAGACCACAAAGATGTTCTTCAAATTAATTGTAAAAATGATAAATTGCTATATTAAGAACAATTATGAATTACTTGATCTGTAAAATAAATTGCGTCAGTCACCCGGCCAATAGGCCGGGCACAAAGCTAGTCTAGTTTGGTTGAATTTCTTTGGTAGGAAAGGGCTGATCTACGGCTCGAATTTGTGCCATTATGTTTTTATCTAACACCTCTATTGCTATGTCAATCTATATTGAAGTTTGATCAGTATTCTTTTTCTGGACGTTTTTTGATGGTTACCTAAATGTGGACTAGATCACAACCGATTTGATTATGATGAAGGAGGAAGTTGGAAAATTGAGAGAAGAAGCCCAAGCTAATAAGGAGCACATGCTGCAGGTATTTTATTGCAGTTGCTGTTGTAAATTAGAATTTTGGATTTATGACATGTACTAAGATATTTGTCATTTGCAGTACAAGAATATAGCTCAGGTAAATGAAGATGCATTGAAGCAGATGGAAGCTGCTCATGAGAACTTTAAGATAGAGGTATGTCTGAATGAAATATCAGCTCTAGTATTGGAGTTCTTTTAGCTTCATGTACAGTGTAATGCCTGTGTCCATATACTCTCTTCTGAGATTATAGCTTACAATTGTCCAGTCAGAAAAGTTAAAGGAGTCTTTGGAAGCCGAGTTGATATCTTCCAGAGTGAAGATATCTGAGCTTCACAATGAATTGCGCTTAAAGTCTGAAGAAGTTGTGTTGGCTTCTGCTGGTAAAGAAGAGGCTCTTTCTTCTGCTCTGGCTGAAATTAATGTCTTGAAGGAGGAACGTTCTAGTAAAATGTGAGATATATCCTTTACCTTCTTTTAATAAAGGTTTCCTACTATATGTAGTTTCTGACGGTCAGAAATTTTCATAGTTCTCAAGTTGTTGCACTGGAAATGCAAGTTTCTGTGTTGAAAGAGGATCTGGAGAAGGAGCATGAGCGGTGGCGGTCTGCTCAAACAAATTACGAAAGACAGGTTCATTCATTTCAGTAAAGTTGAATGTAGAATATATGAAAAGTCCTCCTGATAATAGCTGGATGGTGAAATTTCTTAGTTTGGCTGTTCTTTATCACAATTTATTTATTTTTCCTCATGAAAAAAGTTAGTTAAGTGCAATGCGCTGGCTATATCTTCGTTGAAAACAATTCTAAAAATTCTCTCTAAACTGCCGCATCGAATATGATAAATCTGTTTTTAGCAGCTGAACTGACTTTGCAGTTTCTAATTTTAATTGGAATTTTCTGTTGTCTTTAGGTCATTTTACAATCTGAGACAATTCAGGAGTTAACAAAGACATCGCAGACTTTGGCTTCCTTACAAGAGGAAGCATCTGGCTGGCATAAATTGGCAGATGAGCGAGAATGTATAAATGTGAGACTCATTTAGTTATTGCTTTGTGATTGTTGAACCCTTAGTTGGCTAGTTAGTATTTCATTTTGTTCTTTCAATATCCCCTTTTTCCCCTTGAAGTTGTTTTGCTGTCTGTGTTTGTGCTCCACCTCCTGTGTTTAATTGCTAATGGCTGGGGAATATATGCCATACTAGGCTGATAACGATTAGTGACTAAAATCTTATATAATGGGTGAGTTTCTTTTACTAATACTTTGAGTCATTTATTTTGGTCCAAACTTATGTCTCCTTGTCACATTTGTCTGAGATAACCTGGTAGCCTAGTTTGGTATTTTATGCATTCTACTAATACTCTGTTTACCTGCCTATTGTTCTAGAATGAACTGAAAACCAAGTGGGAGGCCGCTCAATCAATGCTAGAGGAATCAAGAAGGGACTCTCAGAAGAAATATGACGAGCTTAATGAACAGGTACCAGCATCGTGTGCTGATGTGCGTCCTTTAATTAATGCACGCATCCACATGTTCCATTTTCTTATATATAGTTGCATTATTCTCATTGATGGCTTTGGTTAACCTAATTCAAGTGTTGAGCAAGAATACAAAGTTAATGGATTCATGAAAAATCCGAGCCCCCCCCCCCCCTTCTCTTTCTAGCAGTGGAGTGTTATCCCCAAGGTTTTGCAGGGCTGGATGGTTTGATCCATCCTTTACCCCTAGCTGGTCTTGAGGTTGTGAATGGTCACTCAGACACATCATCCCAAACTGATCCTCCTCGGATTTTTCATGAATCCATTAACTTTGCCATTCCTTGGGTTCGCTATAAGATCCGAGCTAAAGGAACCCAAATATTTTGACGAGTGACAAAAACTCACTTTTGAGTTGAGTTAATACTAAGTCATGAAAATAAATATAGAAGGATCCAAACCAGGGAAATTGATTATTTTGAAATCCGTATCTTTTGTAAGTATTGCCTGTGTCGTCTTCTATATTGCCAAACTTGTAAAATTTCTTTAGTATAGTAGTTGCCTGCTCCTCTCCTTGCATGCTGGCCTATTAATCGATTGGTGACTTGCATGGATACATGGCAACATTAGTTTTTCAGACAAAGGCTGACAGATGCATTAGAACCCTAAAAGTATATAGAGCAAGTTGAGTAAATTATTGAATAACTCTACATCAGCCTTGCACTATCATGGAAGTATACCATGTATATTATTGTGTCAATTCTATTTGTTTTTTGTGTTCCTCATCCTTGCTTCATCTCTATTGGCAGAATAAATTACTGCACAGCAGACTGGAGGCTCTGCACATCCAGTTGGCTGAGAGTGATCGGAGCTCAGTAGGAATGTCTTCTAGGAGTAATGCTGATCCAAATGCTGATGGAGGGTTGCAGAATGTTGTTAGCTATCTCCGGCGGTCAAAGGAGATAGTATGTTTTGCCAATTGAATCAATGTCAACGCTTCTACTAGAAAAGTCTTTACTTTGTTACAGTCGGACTAATAAGATAATATTGTGCATTTCCTGTAGCATCTCATTTTAAACCATATGGATGCCTTACTGTTCTGATTGTCTATCTGATTTCAACAGGCGGAGACTGAGATTTCTTTGCTAAGGCAGGAAAAGCTGCGATTGCAATCACGAGTATGTTAAATAACTTGATGTCTTTTTCATCAATTACGCTTGTTGTTTTAACAGGTTGAGAATATTTGTGCAACTATGTGGCTGCTTCATTTTTGAATTATTAAATCTTATCAGATTTTGTATCCTGACAGTTCTGCGCTTCGATACAGCTCAGTGGTGAATGCATTGAATTTTTTTTCCCAGAGAGCAAACAGTTCTTACAACAGGCTCTGGCCTGATAAAGCAAAAAAAATTAAAAGTTAAAAAAATTAAAACAAAAATCTTAACCTATCTTTTGACTTAAGGTGGTTTCTTTACAGACTCATGGATAAATGCAACATAGCACACCACCAATTCATTTTAGTTTATCTCAGAATTTCAGCAAGTTGCTCCTTGAAATTCGGTCACAACTTAATGTTGCGGAAGTGTTCAGAGTTGTGCTTGTCTGTGTGAGACTGTGGCGGCACAATATTTCATGGACTGTTGTGTTGCTCAACTGCTTATACTACCAATTACCATTTACAACAACTTACCCTAATGAAATGGCGAGATGACTGGGATTCTTGTTGACCGTGTTAAATTTTCTGTTATTCAGACGTGAGGCGTGGCAAGTTGATGAAATGGCCCCATTAGCTAATTGTTTGTCTATAAATAACCGTAATCTTGAATTCCAGAAAGGAAAAATTAATAAAAGAAGCAAATATTTTTTTTGGTGATGAGAATGATTGTTGAATAAAGCAGAATGTATACTTTAATACATTTACTTCTAACTTTAGGCATCAGTAATCTGCAAGCACTAGATAGGAGAAGCAAATGCTAGTGTTATTCGTTTGTGTGCTCATATATGTTTTCCCGCCAATGGAACTGTAGCTTGAGAGTGCTCTGAAGGCGGCGGAAAATGCGAAAGTGTCACTCGGTGCTGAGCGTGCGAACTCAAGGGCCTTCATATTTTCAGAGGAAGAAATGATGTCTCTTCAGCATCAGGTGACATTGGATTCTTCCTTGACACATTACATGTGGTTGCAGTAAATCAGTGTCTAAGTTGTTGTCCTGTCACTTGGTGTTATTGTTATCACTGCTACGCCTTTTGGAGTGCTTGTCCTATTGCTTGACCAATTCGTTGAAAGTCGGTCATCGGTGCATTTATATTGTTGGGGTCAGGATTGGGGAGCACAAGCTGGGTTTGTGTTTTGTTTGAAGTAATTTTTAATTTGGTAGCCACATGCTTCTAAATTGGGTTATTCCCATAGTAATTTAAGGTTTGGATCAGATTTTTTTTTTTTGTGTGTTTGCGCAATACAAAAGAATCTCATGGTTTACTTTGAGGGATTGATTGCCGTATAAAACTCATCAGCTCTGAGCTGGGATTGTGCTTGTATGAAATCCATTATAATATTCTCTTGGATATAATTTCTTCTGTTTTTGTTAGGAAATTACGAATAAACTTTGGAGGTGCCTAACTGTTATTATCCTCATAACAAGAGTTCAACAACAACGCTCTTCATATTAATGAATAAGGACTATTTTGTGCTAAGCAATATTATGTAGGAAGAACTAAGGAAGTCGTAAACAACTCTATATAGCTAGTAGATGTAACATGTTTATGTCGTTAATGCATCTTTCCATTCCTTTCAGGTTGAAGAGATGAACTTGTTACGTGAAAGCAATATGCAACTTAGAGAGGAGAACAAGCAGAGTGTTGAGGAATGTCAGGTACTTCTTTCTCGGTGACACTAGGGATGTTATCTGCATGTTTCACTCATTTTCTGGTAGTCGTCTCTTTTATAGTTAGACATAAGTGATAAGTCCTAATAATATAACTCATTTGATGGCAGAAAATGCGTGAATTAGCGCAAGAGACTGAAACTAAGGCAGACAATATGAAAATTCTGCTGAGGGGAAGAGAAGCAGAAATAGAAGCTTGCAAGAAAGAAATTGAAATGTCAAGAGCGGAGAAGGATTTCCTGCAAAAGAGGGTTTCTGAGGTAGTTCGTTTTCATATGTTTTCTTTGGCACCCATGTCTTTGAGAATTTTGTTGCTAACTTTTGTCGTGCAGTTGCTAGAGAAAAATATTAATGTGGAAGACTACGACAAACTTAAAGCTAATCTTCAGAGGCTGCAGGTAGTAATTATGAGATTCAGTCTCTCTGTGAATAATCGTTTTTTTTTTTTTGGTTTCTACATGCCCTTTCCGTTCAATTCCAGACAGGTAGCCATGTAGTCTGTTTTTGATAACCTTCAGACATCCTGCTTTTTTTTCATTTTTTTCACCTGTACTAGTTCGTGCTAAATATATCCTAGTAGGATCTGTGTTCCTATTCTTTCACCTTCAAGTTTCAACTGCTTTTAGTTATGAAACTATAAACTATTTTCATGCTACTCTAATACTTGGTGAGTTCCTTTCACCAGGAGAAACTGAAAGAGAAGGATGATCAGTTGGTGGATACGAAGAACTGCATGTCGAGGCAGCAAGAAACCCTGTCAAAGTTGGAGGAGGACCTTGGACGAAATGAGGCGGAGCTGAATAGTATAAAGTCCGAATTGGACAAGCAGAACAGAACGGTCACGCACTATAAGGTTCTTCTTTCGAAAGCCATTGTCGATTGCAAGTATATCTAATCGCATGTTATTATGTTCTGTCTTGCCGGGATAACTTATTATGGGATTATTCATTGTCGTTTGTCTGGTTATTTTAAATTGCTGTGCTTTTAGAGAAGAAATAATAGTTTGTCCAAGGAAAGGGATGAGTTACTCAAAGAAAAGGATGCAGCTAACAAACAGATCGAGGAATTAAAGCAAGGTATTTCTCTCTGGAAGAAAAGTCAACAACTTGTTGTCTTCCATATTGAGAAATGAGAACTTACTATTGTTGTACAGGCAAGAAGGTTATCGGAAACGCTGGTGGTGAACTTGCCGTTAAGGAAAAGGAGGAGAAAGACACCAGAATACAGGTTCTCAGGACAGGGGAATGAAAAAACCAGTTTAAAACACTAGTTGTTGATTTCATGTGGGTCTAATTTGTGTGCTCAATCATGCAGATGCTAGAGAAAATGCTGGACAAGGTGAGAGACGATTTGAGAAAGGAAAAAGAAAATCATGACCTGGAGAAGGCAAAACATGAGAGTTCTGAAAAGACTGTTCAGGAATCTGTCAAGCATGTTGAGCAGGTGAACTTATGTCTGTAATATATGCACATGTATCGTATTCTTGGAAATTGCTTGAAGTTTCATATATTAGTAGTTGGAAGTACTGGGTCTCGACATAATCTCTTGCATAGTCCACTTCCGTGCTAATCATTTTCAATTAATACAACGTAAAAGATAAAAACCATTATTGTTGCCACTTTTCCTTACTAGTCCTGAACTCCATTTTGGTTGGCTTTTAGGAGAGATCAAGCTTTGAGAACAAATTTGAAAAGCATAACGAGGCCCTGAGGCGCCTTTCAGATGAGCTTGCAAAGCTTAAGCATGTCGAGGGCAGTCTCCCTGAGGTAAATGTGTTTGAGTACTTGAGCTCAGTTTGTGTTAGTCCACTGTTTTTTGTGAATTTCTCTCACTATTATTGTCTAAATGTTCCCATTATTAGGGAACCTCCGTTGTTCAGATTCTTTCTGGGAGCATTCTGGGTGATCATGCTGCTGTTTACCTGTCAGCCGTTGAAAATTTTGAGAAAATAGCCACTTCCGTGCTGGGTGAACTTGGACAGACTCCTCCAGTAGAAACCCCTCCAGCACTGGATGCTCCTGCACCAGTTCCAACTGGTAATTCCTTCTACTCACTTGATTCACATCACTGTCAACATGAAGCTGTCTCTTGATAATATGGTATAATGAGATATACCTTTTAAGTGATGAAAAAGAAACAAGTGGATTTGGGGAAATGTCTAGAAATGAGTTCAAGTTTAATAGTAGGTCCTTATGTTGTAAGAGCGAAGCTCCAAGCGAAATCTTGTCATGGAGATGTGTTTTTCCTTTAAATTAATTTGTGGAATTGATGTTACATAGTTGTTTCAAAAAGTTAGATCCAACAAATGTGTCACCTAAGTGTCCTTATGGCTCTGAAAAATTTTCTCCTGACACAAAACACTCTCCATGCTATTTTTGTTTTGGTGATGTAGCAAGTCAAACAACTGCTCAAATTCCTGTTACCCGAGCCATTCCCACCAATCCAATTCCTGCCAAAGCTGCTGAAGAGAAGGACAAAAGATTTGTTGTCTCCCGCACGAACGTAGGTGAAGTTCGTAAACCAGGAAGAAGGTTGGTTCGACCCTGGCGTGGCAAGACAGAGGAACCTCAGGTTACTGATGCAGAGATGTCTGAGGTAACAGCAGATAAATCCAACCTTGGAGGAAAACCTGTTGCCGCATCCCAAGATACCGATGCTAATGCTATGCAAGGTAATCTAATAAGCTCATCATCTCAACCACTGAGCCGCAAACGGCCTTCACAATCTGTTGCCGAGGGTAGCGAGCAACAGATTCAAGGGGAGGCTCTTTCCCAGGGAGCTGCCCCTGTGCTAAAGAAGGCCAAGGGACAAGGCTCTTCAGAGGGAGGGGAGGCAGAAGTGCTGCCTGGCACATCAGCAGCCAACGTTTCTTTGGATGCAGCTGGTGATGTACTTACAGGAGGTTCAAATGAAGAAGTGATCGCTGCTGAAAATGAAATGGCCGATATTGTTGGGGACAAGATGGATTCAGATGTTATAGGTGGCAGCGGGGACCAGGTGGAAGTACAGAACCAGAAGAGTGATGATGCGGAGGATACTACTTCAGATAAGCCGACGAGTGGGACATTAGTTATCGAGATTGATGAGAGCCTGAAGGACGAGTTAATGGTTGAAGAGGACCAACAAGGTGACAGAGAAGAGGGAGAGCTGCCATCAGATGTTTCTGAAGCTGAAGGTGGTGCTGACGTGGGCAGCCCAGAAAGTGGGGAGTTCATGCCCGAAGGCGGCATCACACCTGAGTCATCACCATTGAGGATGGAAGAAGAAACAGCAGCCCCTACAGAAGATCTCGAGGCCGGCGAAATCCCAGATGACGAAAATGATACAGCGGATACCTCTAACATTGGTTCCGAGAAGGCAAATGACACTGACGACCAGAATGCAGTGGTGGAAACCGATCAAGGTCAGGAAACCACACCGGTTGCTGGGGACGTATCCACGACCAATGCGAGTGCAGATGCTGATGTGGTGAAAGCAGAGGCAGCGGAGGTGGTGAAGCAGCAGGTTTCGCCAGCGAGTCAGGCATCAACAGTCGTTAATTTAGCTGCCAGAGCCAGGGAACGGGCTCGTATGAGACAATTAGGAGCAGCCGCTACGAGTTCACTCCCTGCAGCAGCAGCCTCGCCGAGTGCATTGAGAGGTCGTGTCAGAGGTTTGGTACGTGGTCGGGGTGTGGGTGCACGAGTGTTGCCACGTGGTGGAGGGAGAACTGGTGGACGTGGAGGCCAATCATCTGGCCAACAAGGCTAGGCTAAACCCTACTACGCTCTTTACTCAAGTGGGGTGTGCCTTCCCTTTTTGTTGGTTGTTTCCAGTTCATGGTTCGAAGTGACAGTCGATCGACTCGAGTGTTCGAGGAGTACTGGGGTTGTCGGTTGAGTAGACGGTTTTGGTAGGCTGTTGTTGTTTTCATGTTGCTGAGAGTAAATCTTCCTTTGCCTAATATAAATTTGTAGACTGTACAGTGCATCTGGGTTTTGCAAGTGTTTTTGGCATGAACTCTAGGAATTGTGATTAGCAGGTTGTCACGCCGGCCGGCGTGCCACCGGTTGGACATGGTTCAACCTGTACCGGTCATAAAACCGGCGTGACACCATCGGTATGATCGACATGATCGATATACGAATCTCTATGTAAAATAACCTTATTTTAGTGACTTCAATTGTTAAAAATTATTTTATTATTTATGTATGAGTATAAATGTTAAATATTGATGTTATTTGTTGGATTCAAGTATAAATGTTTAGGTATTGACGTTAAATGTCATGTTTAAGATGAGTATTTATAATTTTATTTGTAATATTGACCGGCATGAACCGGCACAAACCGGTATGTGCCACCTGTCGAACCATTCCACTTGCTAAATCGACACACTGGTATAAACCGGTTTGACAACCTACTGATTAGTACTAGTATTATGCTGGTAAGTAGGTCGATTTAACGAGCTATATGAAGGTGGGATTACGAAGTTGTTGGGCCAGCCATATAAGAAAGTTGGATGCTTCAATATTAGGGGTGTTCAAACGGTTTGGTTACCATGGTAACCGTTTTAACCGGTACTATTTGGATAATTTGGTCCGGTTAATTTGGATAATTGGTTTGGTTTGGTTAAAGTTTTTAGCTTGTTTGGTTTAGGTGGTTTGGTTTGGTTTCAGACACTCCTAACCAGTCAAACCAAATTAGCCAGTTAAGTAATTAGTCATATATCTAACATATATTATATACACAACATACTTAATACTTTGCATAATCATTCAAGAATTAACGTTCATCCCTTTTAGACTCATAAAATATAAAGCTCAATATTGCTCATATAGTGTATATTTGTATATGTAAAATGTAGACCACAACATATGGACGTCTAATTTAGATAAATTTCATACATTATGATGGATGAAAACTTAAAAGGAAGGTCATTTCCAGCTTATGATAATTGTTAAGAGACTAAGTCAATTTACACAAACACAACAATTCATTAACCCATACCATTGTCATAAATTTTTGTTAGGTGAATACTTCTATACTAATCGTAAGATAATTGTCTTAGTTGCATGTATTTTTGTTAAGGGTCAACTATAACTACGTGTTGATTGTTATGTTTTATGCATTATATAAATTGCGAATTGTTGCATTAACCGGAAAATTTTCATCGTCAATGATAATGTGATTTTATATTGGTTAATCTGGTTAACCAATTAACCAAACCGATTAAACTTTAGTTTGGTTAATTTGGTTGTTGTGTTAGTTTGGACGGTTTGGTTATGATATTGTATTCCATGGTTAATGGAATTTAGCCTTATTTGGTTTGGTTATAACCATGGTAACCATTTGAACACCCCTATTCAATATCAGGATGTATGCATAGTGTGTACTCGACAAATTTAGTTTTTTTAGGATAAATTGCAGAGTTATTATTTGTCATTTGAAAATTTTTATTTCATTTGTTGTCACTAAGAGTCATATTATAGTCCAAGTTAGATATTGGCCGTTACCTTCAATGAGCAATTGAGCATTTGTTAACGAACGACCCATCGCATCAGATATCTTGATCCAACTCACGACCCAATCCTTCTTGTCCCTCCCTTAACCAAGATCCCCGCATCTACATTTAGTTTGTGTAAACCCCCTGGTCTGATTTTTTTTTTCTTTCTAATTATGCTATTCCATTCGTCGTCTTTTTGGGCGATTGGTGCATTATGAACTCTTCAAAATAGGCCGGCGATCTAGCTATAATCTCTCATTCTTCTATAAGGACACTCCAAATTTTATTTATTATCCACACGGGCTAACATCATGTGATTAAAAGGGAGTTCTTTAATCACATGATTAAACCAAATCCAGCCACTCATTCAAATTCTAATCTAATGCTTCAAATTAATCTCATTTAATGAAGGGTAGAGTGATAATTTCATATTTTATTTATTTACCTATTAAAAAAATAATTGGGCAGAGACGAGTCAAACGACGACACCTGCATCCCTACCGTTCCGACGGTCGACTGTTCCTCCCGCCTCCCTTCAGTCCCGCCGGCAGTCCACTTTTCTCGGCGAGCGTCCATACACAGCTCATGCATTTCTCTCCCCAACCCAGTTTTCATCTTTTGTGTGAGAGAGAGATACGATCGACTTTCCGGTGGCAGAGTCTTCCCGACGACGACCAGAGACGGCAGAGGAGGATTTTCCAGCAGCAATGATGGTTTCGTGATGTTTGTCAACTTATTTTATAATGTTTTTACGTCCAGTTTGTAATGTTTATATCAATTCAGTTGTATCGTTTATCATTCTAGTTTGTTATTTTGGTCTGTTGTGTTTGTAATGTTATATGACTAATTTGCTAATAAGTTGATTTATAGTATTTGTTAGTCTAGTTTGTATACTTTGTATTCATTGATTTGTAATACAATTTTACCGATTTGTATTGTAAGTAGTGTTATTTCGTATTGTTAGTATGCTTTGTAATGTTTGTCGGTTTATTTTGTAATGTTTGTAAGCTTTGTTATTTTGTAATATTTGTCGGGTATTTTTGTAATGTTTGTAACCTTAGTTATTTTTGTCCACCATGTTTGTCATTTTTGCCAACCATGTTTGTAATATTTCTTATCTCTAAAAAACAAACTGGTTGACTTTTGGATGAAATCTTCTATATAGAGACGGAGCCTCCAAAGTCAACTCGGGTGTTTTTCCATTTGGTATGGTTTGTCTGTCTAGTTTATCATTTTTGTCCACCATGTTTGTATGTCTAAAAAACAACCGGGTTGACTTTGGGACGAAACCCTTCTATATAGGAATTGAAACTCTAAAGTCAACCTGGTTGTTTGTCGGTCTAGTTTGTATTCAGTGGCGTAGTCAGGATTTTACGCAAGGTGGTGCAATTTTCTTAATTAACATAAATATATCTTATATGAGAAATTATTAATTCTATTTAGTGACTCACAACATTTTTCCACTATATAAATTTAAAAATATATGGTCTTATAAACTACAAAAGATATTATTGTCAATATACCCTGCCAAATGATTCATGATTTTCCTTATTATTACATCCATGGAGAGTTACGTTAAAGTCACTCTAGTGATTATGGATAGCTGAGTAACATCGATTGGAATGAGATGGCAGAGGTGAACGACTTAGTAACCACGTTTGGGTGGATAGTTAGATATTGGACGCATAGTGGTGTTGTGTGAGGTTAAGAGTCGCCACAATTTAGAGTTAACAATTATCTAAAACATTAGAGATTTAAAAGATTGAATTAATCATATATGATTTCGTTTATATAATTGAAGATAATTTAAATGTACATTCTTAATTTAGTTTGATGGTAGAAATAATTAAGTACAAGGAGGAATAACCTTCTATTTTAAAGTTCCATTGCAAACAACCTACTATATATACCACTCTCCAATCCTTTCTCCAATCCAAGGGTGTGGAGGGGCACCCTCTCCCTACACACTCCCTCCGCCCCTCTTTGTACTAGTTTGTATGTTTGTATGTTTTGTCGTTTTAGTTTATATTGTTTGTATGGTGTGTCCAGATCTAAAAGCTAGCAGGGACTTAATCAAGTGACTAAGCACCCCCCTTAATCATAGAATCCAGCCTCATCCACGGGTAAACCCTTGTTATAATGTACTATCAATTCGTGATTATATTCAAGAGAATTGTCTATCAATAATGGCGACAAGTGAGCTTTCTTATAAAATTCTCGAGTCGAAAACTACATTTACTTGCATTAGGACTAGAAAATTCTCTACAAGGGAATAGGGAAGACTCAACCTAAATCCACACTAGAAGAAAAATCTTATCTTACAAAATATTAAAGGGGTTTGGAAAACCAACCCCTTCCACGTAAGTCGTAACGGCTTCTTCGGCCATCGGTGCATGGCTAATCGTCGCCCTAACTTACTATTATCGCCCTATCTTAACATATATTATTACTGAATTACCCTTTATTAATCAATTCAAATTCAACTCCTCGCCGGTTTACTCCCCGCACTCCTCCAAAGAAATTGAACAGGGCCCCTGCATCAACACCTCCGCCACCGACTGGACCCCTAACTGAATTGGTTTCTTCAGGGGCTTGAAAATTCAGGACAAACTTCATTGATTCAAGTAAGCTAGGGTTGGGGAGGCATCTTGGAGGTAATTCGGAGATAGCCATGGCGGATAAAATACGCGATTCTCGTTGGTCTCTAGTTTATCCAACGAGGAAGGTGAAACGAGGACTTGATGTGGAACTCGCCATCGTTCCCAGATGTGAATAGAGAGTGATATTCAAGGCACACACATCCAATTGACAAACTTCATTCACCAAAACACCATAGAGAATCAAGAACCTCTCCTATCGGCATACTCTCCTTAATTCAATTGTCGTTTGAGCACTCTGCAATTCGCTGACAAAGTTGTTGGGTATGTGAGGGAGACAACTAGAGTTGCGGTGGGTGACTGGAGGCAACAGAAACTATGATGATGGAGATGAGTTCGTGCGCACGGCAGTGGTTTGTTGAGGGAAAGAGACAAGAGTTGTGGGGAAAAAGGATCCTTGTGCCCGCTTAGATTTTTAGGTCAATTTATTTAATTAGGTTTAATAGTAGGCGGGTGTTATTTGTTTGTTAAAATATAATAAGTTTTATAAATAAAAAGGAAAAGGGCATAAAGATATTTGTAAGCGGTGATGTAAGGCGATTATAGAAAATTTAGGGCGACAATTAGCAACTCCTTTTTTATTATTAAAATACTCAGCCCGACGGTTACTTCATCTTCTGATAATCCTTAGTTCTTCCCCCTTCTTGTGAATCGAATCCGGCAACTGCCGTGTTTCATCTTCCTCCTATGTAGTCTCCATGGAAAAAGTGTTCTTCAAGTTGTCTCCTTCCTTCCTTGAGCCGCCTATATCTTTCACTCTGCAACCATTCCCCACCCCTACCTTTTTGCCTCATGGATTCGACTTCTTTATGACGCCTGGGTTCTCTTCCCGCCATCGATTTTCCATTGCTTTCATACTGTATTACTGGTTTTCTGGCCATTAAGTTTGTTTGCCTGTGATAAATTATATATGTATTTGGCCTCAATGATGAATGTTGCTCTTTCTTCACCTCCTAGAGAAGGTTTATTGTTTCTTCTACATTGGTCATCTATGATAAAATGACTTTACCTTTAAAGTAATCAAATCATCACATTCTAGATATCTCAACTACTTGGTGGAAGTTTCTTTTATAGGTTTTGGTCGA